GGAGACAGTGTCTTCTTCTTGCTCGTCCCCTCTTCTTCCCTCTATATGTTTCTGTCTCTGTATCCAAAGTCCCCTTTGAGAGCTTACTTGGGGGTTCTAGCACGGGATCACAGTTACCCATATACCCTTGACCAAAGTGTGTCCTCTATTGAGGATGGTTGTTCTGTTTGACTGAGTATGAGTGCACAGCTTCGGGTCAGACACCTGCCCAGCCAAACAGATCAGCCAAATAAGCACTGGTGATCAATGGGGTGACAGATGTCAAAGCCAGATCGCCCTCAAATCCCCAAATTCCCCTTTGAATAAGGGCGCCAGTCATATTGGATTAGGGCCCATTCTAATGGTCTCATTTCCACTTTATAAAATTTACTTTTATAAAGACCTTGTCTCCAAATAAGGTTACATTATGAGGTACTGGGTCTAGGACCCCAGCAAATCTTTTTTGGGGGAGGGGGACACAATTCAGCCCATACCAGGCTCTAGTTAGAATGCCTGGGCCTTCTTTTTTTTCCCCTTCCTCCCTCCCTCCCTTCTTCCCTCCCTCCTTCTTTCCTTCCTTCTTTTTTACCCCTCCCTCCTTCCCTTCCTTGAATTTTTTTATTGTTCCAGTAAGTTTTTTTGTGGATTGCTTACGATTTTCTACCAGCAGAATCATGTCATCTGCAAATATAGCTTTCTTACCTTTTTCCAGTGTGATGACTTTTCTTTTTCTTCCCTCATTACTCTAGCTAGAAGTGTCAATTCGATGCTGAAAAGAATGGTGAAGGCAGACATTCTTGTCCTCTTCTTGCTCCCAGGAAGAAAGCTTACAGTCATAGCCCATTATGCACAGTGTTGTCTGGAAGTATATTACAGAAGGGCTTTGGGGGAATAAAATACCTGCTCCAGCGCTGTGCGTGTAACTCTGTGGAAGAGCGCTTGCCCAGTACGCACAAGTCTCTGGGTTCAGTCTCATCACTGAAGAACTCTTGGTCTGTTGACAATTTTGTCGATGTCTTCCTTACCCACAGAAAGTAGTATTTTACTATTTTCAGAAAGTTTCTTTAATGCTTCTCCCTTTGTTTCCATGGCAGGTCAATCACTTTCTAATTCTGCTTTGTCTTTGGCCAATTTGGCTTTTTGCTGTTTGATAAATTCATCCAAATTATCAGCCATTTTGCAGATCTCAGGAGAGTGCAGGCTTACGGACTGGGAGACACACAATGCTGAAGCAAGGCTCTTTGCTGTCGGAAGTGGTGGCAGTGGCCACCTGGTGCAGGAACAGCATGACTCTGGGCTGGCTTTCTAGCTCTACTTCTTTCCCTCCTCCCATTAATTTTTTATTAGGGTCTAGTCTCTACTTCTTACTACTCTATCAACCCTTGACTTCCCCATTTATAACACCATCACCCCTGTAGTTACTGTGTGGGGCTTATATGAGGTGCTTGGCATGTCGCACCGTGACGTCACACAGCCCCCTTGTTACTACTAGAGAGAGTTGCAGAACTGGGGCTGTCCTCCCTCATTTGGCTCAGTCCACCCGAGCCTGCCTGGAGTGAAAGGGGGCTGGGCCGTGCATGTGCACAGCTCACCCCATCGAGACCACACACCTCTTTCTCAGCCCTGGAATTTGTGCTTGGGAGCTTGCTCAGCCCACACAGCACAGTCCTGCAGTGCCAAGCATTTTGTGCCTCCAAGAACAACCTCGAAACCATGAAGGACAAGGGTCAGTCATTAAACACTCCAGCTTTCCTCTAAAAATAATTCTCAAGTGAATTCTACATGGGCCCCGCAGGATTGAACTCCAGCCGTCCTCAGCGCTAATAAAGGCAGGCTTCATCTGCTTTTCTCTAACTTCTTCTAGCTGTGCTTTTTATTGGGTCATCTCCCCAATTAGCTTTCTGCACCCAAGACCTTTTCTCAGGGTCTGTTTTTCAAACACCCAACAGAGGCTCAGAGTTGCTGCATGGCTTGTACATGGGTACGAGGTTAAGGAGCGTTAGGCCCAGGATTTGAACTATGGGTTCTTTGGCTCTTCAAGCCCTTGGGCTAATCACCAGCCACCCGTCTCCAGTCCCAATGCCCATCCTACACCTGCCCCTCTCATTCTGCTGACTTCTCATGCTTCTCTTTTATTCAACCTCAGGAAGGAAGCCCCAACAAAAGGAAAGCACCTTCTCCCTCTTCTCTCCTGAGAACTTAGCTGACCCAGCCTTCCTGCTTCTCCCCTTTGCCTCCACTCTATAGAGGTAGCCACCGAGGGACCCGAGTCCTCCCTGCAATAACCAATGTGGCAGAAGAGGAGACATCATCTCAATCCACACAGCTTGGCTGGGTCAAGTTCTAACCAGAGCATGGCCAGTGAAAAGCTAAATAAGCTCTGAATCTTGCCCTGGACAAGTGTACAGTTTTATGGAAAATAGCAAAACTGGAATAATTGATGATAGCACACTTCTGAAGTCAGGCAGATGTGGCAAATACTTAATATTCTTATCTGCCAGCTTCTGTGTGACTTGAAGCATTCAACTTAATCTCTTGAAGCTTTAATTTTCCTGTCTGGATTATGGGAATAATAATAGCTCCTATATCCAAAGGTGGTTGTGTTGGATGTAGTGATGCCTATCTGCAGTCACAGATTATCAGGAGGAGGAGATAGGAGAATCTCAATTCTAGGGCAGCCCAGACAAAGTTAGCACAAGATCCTACCTGAAAAGAAACTAAATGCAAAAGGACTGGGTGTGTGGCTCAAGTGGTAGAGCGCCTGCCGAGCAAGCCTGAAGCCCTGAGTTCAAGCCCCAGCACCACCAAAAAAAAAAAAAGTGTCTGTGTGGGTACAATGAGAGTGCATGGCACACAGTGATACTTTAGTAAATGTAGCTATGATTACAAGAGCTAAATAGAAACACAAGCTTCTTGCCAGGTGTGGTGGCACATGTTTGTTATCCCAACACTCAGGAAGCTGAGACAGGAGGATTTTAAGTTTGAGGCCAGCCTAGGCTTCATGGAGAGTTTCAGGCCAGCCTAAGCCTGAGCTGTTTCAATTAAAAAAAAGAAAAAAGACATGAGTTGAGTTGAGTTGAGTTGGGACTATTGGGCATGATGATGCTGACTGAGTGGGAAGAGTCGTCCAAGACATGGAGTGAGAAACAAAGCCCTGATGACCTCATTGAGTTCCTAGATCCAGCTACGCCTGAAGCCAGACTTCTCCTGCTGGCTGCATCAATTGCATCAATTTTCTGTCTGTTGCGACTGAAGAGAGCTAACATAAATCCTTGTCTTCTCTTTCTCTGGGCTCCCTCTCAGTCCTCTGAGCAATATACTTTAATGTTTCAATGATTCTTCCTTCCAGGACCACACATGAATGTTACCAACAATGACCAGCAAGACTGGCTGTCTAATTGCACCACCACGGTGGACTGATTTTCCAAAGATGGCTGCACTATATTCCACACGCCCCACAAACATTCCTAAAATGTGTTTATGTTCCCCATACCCCCACACACTTAATCTGAGCGGGGGATTGTGACAGAAGTGGACATGACAGAAATGGTTCTATGTGACTTCTAAAGACAGAGCATAGAACGGATACAGCTTCCACCAGGCTCTCTTGCTCTAGGCATGCTTATTCTTGGAACCCTGCCACTATGGGGTGAGGAAGTCCAGACTAATCCATGTGGGGAGACGGCATGCAGAGGGCCCCATGGAGACACCAAGGTCCCCAGCTGTCAGCCACCATCACCCACCCAACGTGGGAGGGAACAAGTCTTCAAAGGGTTCCATGTCCCATCCTTCAAGTGTCCCAGGTGAGGTCTTAAGTGTCATGGAGCTGAGACAAGCCACCCCAGCTGGGTCTGGTCTAAATTCTTGACTGGCAAAATCCAAAAGCATAATAAACACCTTTGCTTTGAGTTGCTGGGATGGTACGTTACGAAACGGTAGCAGTCAGGAAGAAAAAGAGACCTCGAATGCATGGCACAAATAAATAATCTTTAATTTCAATAAATAGCTCCCCGCCACACCAGACAATATGCAACAGAGAAAGATACAGAAGTGTCCAGTGGGGGAAGGGAAAGGCCTACGCTAATTACACTGATGCCTTAGCACGTGAGACATGACTTTGACTCACACACAAATACAGAAAGATCCTCAGAGTATGATTAAGCAGGAGATTGTCAAGGAGGGCGGTCGTTTTAATCATGTGCAGGTCCTTGCTGGGTCATCATCACCATGATTCTGTCAAGAAACGTTACTTTTGCTCTATCATAGTCTATGTATGCAACACACACACACACTTATCGCTACCCAAGGTGGGGTCTTTGACAGATGGGAGGACATGGGTCAACTGTCACTGGATGAGAGAGGCAGAGAGAAGGGAGCGCTCAAGGTGGAGGGCACATAGGCACACATGTGTTCACCTGTGAGGTCACACGCATGAGGACACACACATACAACCCTGGAATAAGCTAATACAAGAACAAATTCAGTGAAGCCAGGAGGTTTCTTACACCGGATTGTGTTTTGTTGCCATTTGGTTCCTCCAAATAGTCTAATCTATTTATCACATTTACTAAGAAGACAAAGATAGTTACACCTTTGGAGAAAAGTGTCAAATCTGAAGAACCCCAGGGAACAGAAATTGCCCAATGGGTGTGTTTTGGGCATGGGATCAGACTTCCCACACACCAGCCAAACTCTTGGTTCATTTAGTCTTATAGAGGCTGGCTCCATTAGGCTGGCTCCATTTGGGAGACCAAACCCTCTGGTCTGAGGGGTGAAAGTGCATTTTAGGATATGGAGTATCAACACGAGTAGGCACTGCCAATGAGACCCACAGCAAAACCCACTCAACTCATTCCAGAAAGTTCTTAGGCCTCCGTCAATGAGGGTGGCCATTTTGCGATCAACAGTCAGCCTCCTTTCAGTTCTGAGAGGATCTGGGGTGTGCAAGCACTGTGTGCATGTGGTAAGAGTATATGCGGGTGTGGATGTCATAGGTACGTGACACTTTTTCTCAATGAAGAAAAGCTGCCTTCCCTGCGGCCCTCAGGTCACCTCCAGGGAGGCAGGAGACACGCGGTCACAGTCGGCTCGGGACCTCAGGCTGTGCCACTGCTCCACAGCTGTGCGGTGAGTATTGAGCATCCGGCGCCAGTGGTTGGATTCAGAGGGGCCCGAGGAGTACTGGCCGATGACAATCCTCCCGATGAAGTCGTTACTGCTTTTCACGTTGTGACCAAACACTAGGGAGCCAGAGGGCCAGGACAGGGGTGGGGGAGGGGGAAGAAAGGATAGGAGCAGGGAGGCAGGGGCAAGACAGAGGCTGTTAGTTCACACACTGCTCAGCTGCAAACACAGGGTCACTGCTTTGGGGACATTGTTTCTTTTCATGGTGAGACTTCCCAGATTCCCTCATCTCAACCTTTCATGACTCTCTCTACAACAGAGCTCCTGCTGCCCCTTACCATGCCGGCCCTGTTCCCCTTCCAGCCTTTGCACTGGCTGTTCCTACTGCCAGATGGCCAGGCCACTTGCACTTGTAGCTGTAAGCTTCGCCCGAGCTGCTCACACACAGCCTACAGAGCTCTCTGGATGGACAGTTCAGTGGAGCAGTGGGTTGTCACTGTGGTCCAGTTGACTGGATGAACCAGAGGCTCTTAATGGCAGAACTGTTGACACCATGGCCTGGATGGTTCTTTGCTGGAGAGGGTTGTTCTGTGCATTGTAGGATGTACAGCAGCATCTCTGGGCTCTATCCATTAGATGCCAATAGCAGTCCCACCAACCAGGTTGTGACAAACCAAAGTGTCTTCTGACATAGCCAACTGCCACCTGGGAGCAAATCCATCCCAGAGGAGGACCACCAGAGTTAAGCTATGGGACCAGATATCCTGATGCAAAACTTGAGACTCTGAGACTCAGTTTCCTCACTGATTGAAGAGGATTCTTAGCAGTACTTCATCTCACAATCCAAGGCAGGCTTTAGATGAAATAGTATGTGTGAAACTCACAGCACACAGTAGCTAGCAAGTGGTGTGAGTGCTTCACAAATGCTATACTGCCATTTTTGATCCTCAATTTCTGCCTGTTGATCTTTTTCTAAAAGAGACTTCATGCTTCCTCTTCCACACAACAGAGGCAAGCTCGCAGAAGGAAATGGCTAGGGCGATTTCTTCACCCACTGGCTGTGTTGTGTGTCTCCTTGGAAGGCTTCTCTGTTAATTCCAATGCAAGCTTAGTTTGTGTCTTTCAAGCCTAATGAGATGGTTAGCTTGATTTATCTCCCTGGCCAAGTTCTGCCTCATTCTTCATCTGCGTGTGGGTAGTCTAAGCGTGCCATCCTGCTAATGGGAAAGCAGGCTGTGGCTGTGTTGTAAATGAAGGGTAATAGAAAGGGAAATATCACAGATGCACCCAGCGTGAGCCAAGCAAGGGCAGCCTGGATCCCAGGAGGGACGCCATTATCAAAAAACCAGCTAAAATATGCAGCCCAAAACAGCTTGAACGATAACGAGCCTCTGCTCTCCCCTGTGGCTTCACACCAAGAATTCCAAATGATAAAAATGGAAAAAAGAAAGAGAAGTGGGAAAATAAAACCAAGGTCCTTGTCCAATGTCTCTAAACCAAAAAAGACTATTGAATGGGGCAAGTAAAAGAAAAAAATATATATATATATGCACTAATCCCAATCATGAGGGCTTTGGGGTCTCCTCCCAAAAGACTCCACCTCCTAATACTATCACGTTAGGAGTTGGGACTCCAACATCTCAATCTGGGGACAAGGCAAACATTGAGATTATAGAATAATTTCAAGAGAGATGATATGGTCCTTAATCCCTCAAACATTTGCTATCTGCTCCTTTACAGAAAACTGTTAAGACATTGATTGTAAGAATAAAAGTCCCACTGAGGAAGTGTGACCGAGGTGGCTAGCAGCCTGCCCACTGCCTCTGCCCACCTTGAGGTTGCTCCAGCACCCGTGCCTCTCTGCCCGGGGCCATGCCAGCTTGTCTATGCAAACAGTGTGCTTTGTGGTGGGTGCCTTGAGCCATTCGACATTAGCTTGACCACAGAGGGGACTGGGGACTGGGGTTGGCCACTTGGATGGTCAGCCATGACTATGTGACTGACCCATAAATTTATGTCCGACACCAAAGCTCTAGTGCTAAGCTTCCATGGTTGACAGCACGCTGAGTGTGTCACTGTACATCAATGCTAGGACAGTTACACATTGTTCATTTGACTCCAATGGGAGGACAACTAGATGCTGGTGCCTGGTCTCTCCTGGACTTTGCCCTGTGTGCCTGTCAGTCTATTCAGGCCCTGTGACAAACGGTCATCAACCAGGCAGCTTATAAGCAGCAAGTTCAGAGGCTGAGTAGTCCAAGATCAAAGGGCCAACATAGTCCATGCCTGGTGAGGGCTCACTCTCTGCATCAAAGATGGCAGAAGGTGTCTTACTGTGCTATTACATGGGAGAAAGGGCAAGGCAGCTCTCTGGGGTCTCTCTTACAAGGATATTAACCCCATCCAAGACAGTGGCACCCTCATGACCTAATCACCACTCAACGTCCCCCAGCTCTAAATACCCTCACATTGGGGATTTTAGAGAGAAACACACACACCATAGTGCCAATCTTTCATTTGGTTGATTTTGGTGTGAGTCCTTCTACTATACTAAATTGTCACTGTGACCACAAGAGCTCTGCTGAGTTCTGTGAGTTCTGCTAGTGAAGCATTGAATCTGAGGATGGATTGGAGGGCCTCCCACATTGCAGACCCCACTTGTCAGATGTCCTTGCTTGGTTTGCTCTCCTTCCTTTTCTCCCTCCCCATCCTTATTGCCACTTGCTGGGGTCACCTCCCTAGTAGCTTACATGCACCCATATCATCATCTTAGGATCTACTTTGGGGGACACCTACATAAGATTGGAGAGGACTAATTAAAATTTCTGATGTAATGATACCTTGGGAATCCACATCACTGTTAGAAATGAGACAAACTTGCATAAATGAAATGGGAAAATCTCTCTGACATATTGCTAGGAGACAAAAACAAGTTGTAATGTAGGGTATGTAAACACAATATTTTTTGTCAAAAGAACTGCTAACCTAGGCAAAGAAAACAATATCTGGAGAAATATGAGCTCAGCAAACTGTCAACAGTGGCCTTCTCTAGAGGGAAAATTCCTCTTTCTGTATTACATAAGTTTGAACTTCTTATAACAAGTACATATTCTTTTGGAAAGAAAACAAAAAAAAATAAGTTGCTATTAGAGAATCACAGCTAAATTGCCAGAAGGGAAGAAAATGAAAAGGAAGTCTAATATCCTACGCTCCTTATCCCAGTTTGCAAAGTAACTTGGCTGGTGAGTCACTTTGCCCTGGAGAGGCGGGAGTTCTTAAGTGACTCATGCTTTCTGGTGGGAAGTGCCCGTTGCTCTGGCCATCTGAGTTAATTGGCAGGCACCAGCACTTGCAAATCACTTGGTAAAGCTATGGCACTCTTAAGTCTTTGAAAAAAATTTTTTCAGTAAAAATTATAAACCAAAGTTGAATAAAACTAGTGACTTCTATTATAAAAGTTGCCTAGGAGAGTATCAAGATTTGCCATCCCTGTGAATTCTAAGGTGTATGTTGTTGGAGAGAGTCAAGATTAGATGCACAGAACATAGAAAGGGGCCTTGGGACAGTGGGTGAGATATTCCTGCCTCTCTGTTTCTGGATTAAAAAAACCAAGTCACAAGGCTAGTGGATAACATTCATAGTATTTGAAGCAAATATTCTGTAAAGGAAGCTGATTCCCTGTGATTGGATCCCTAAATGCCTTCTCTTTGGAAATATTTACAGCTAAAAATTTTGTTGTAAAGCACTACCCTTAAATATTTCTGCTAATGGCTATAGGGGACTCATCTTGGCAATACTGGGATTTGAACTCATGACCTCACATTTGCTAGGCAGACGCTCTACCACTTGAGCCAGTCTGCCAGCCCTTAGGTGACTCATTTGAAAGTAGACATTAATATATGACTAGATACTATATACACTCCACTTCTACCCTCGTCATCTGGAATCAACTTCCAAACAACCTGCATAAAACCTAGAGCATGGAAAAATAACACCTAAACATTCAAAATAGATGTCACAAAATCCACATGCAACCTCTGTGTAGAAGAACCCTCAGGTTTTCTCCAGGAACTGATTACTTTTTGTGGATTTAGATACAATTTGAATACACTTGGTGCTATGGTTTGGATGTGGTTTGTCCCCGTGTTCACGTGTTGGGGGCATGGTCCTCAGTGTGGCCATGTTAAGAGGTGGACCTTTAAAAAGCAGAGTCTAATGCAAAGTGTTTAGGTCACTGGAGGCGCTGCTTGCTGAAGGGATTAAGGTAGTTCTTAAGCAATCTGCATAACTTCCTGCAAAAGCGGGTTGTCATAGAAGAGTAAGCCCTGATCTCTGACTTCCTGTTTCTCCATGTGATCCCTCTCACATGCCCTCCCACCATGTCACCATCTGTCCTGAGTCCCTCACCAGACACCAAACAAATGGGGCTACCTGATCCTGGGCTTCCAGCCTCCAGAATGGTGAACTAAATAAGCTTCTTTTCTTTATAATGCATCCATCCTGAGGTATTTTGTTACAGCAACAAAAATGGACTAACATACTTGGTTATTTGGTTTCCCCATTTGGAGTAACTTAAATTAATGCAGAGAATGGGGCCAGATGAGAAGAGTTACAAAACAACACTTAACTTCTCCATGGACCTGAAAGATAGTCACTGAATGACAATTTATACTGATAATAATGACTCAGTCCACAAGAAACCTCAGTGGTTCTTTGAGTGAGTCATTAAGAAAATGTGGTATCTATACACAATGGAATTTTATGCAGCCATGAAGAAGAATGAAATGTTATCATTCGCTGGTAAATGGATGGAATTGGAGAACATCATTCTGAGTGAGGTTAGCCTGGCCCAAAAGACCAAAAATCGTATGTTCTCCCTCATATGTGGACATTAGATCAAGGGCAAACACAACAAGGGGATTGGACTTTGAGCACATGATAAAAGCGAGAGCACACAAGGGAGGGGTGAGGATAGGTAAGACACCTAAAAAACTAGCTAGCATTTGTTGCCCTTAACACAGAGAAACTAAAGCAGATACCTTAAAAGCAACTGAGGACAATAGGAAAAGGGGACCAGGAACTAGAGAAAAGGTTAGATCAAAAAGAATTAACCTAG